CATATATTTGACTGCAACAACTTATGTGATTTTCTTAGGAGAACACGGGGTTGCTTTTGTCAATCACTATGGGAATAATGGACCTTTGAACCATGCAAAGTATGTTGATATCGACGCAATGTGATGAAGATATACCATTAGTTCGTCAAACCCTAGATTTACAACAATTCGTAGTCGTGACTTTGATTTTTGAGATTCATTAAGAGAGCAATTACTTGAATGCCTACTACTTGTCTCAATAAAGGTTAGAGAAACCTTGGAGAATTTACATCCTATGAAATTTGTGAGGTTCAGTATCTTCGAGAGAGAGTTCTTCATAATCAGGGTGGTTAATGTAGGATAGTCCAGCAAATATCGAAACACACATGTATTTTAATAGGGTATAGCTATGAAACCTACGAGGAAAAATATTTTGATATGATGAATAGTTGGGAGAATGGTGCGATAGAGTATTTGGATTACATTTATGCTGAACTAATATATTATAATTTATGTATTACAGATGAGATTATCTTTGCAAATGATGATCAAACGGGGAATCAAAGGAGACAAAGCAAATTATTTCTTCATATTGAGAAGTAAACTTTTGCAGTGGAGATTTACCTTTCTTCAGGTAAACCGGATAATTCGTCAATGAATATTTACCTTTCTTATCTTAAGGATAGGATAATTCGTCTTTTTATGTCTATTTTGCTTAAATTGGATACACTTACTCTTCGGCTAGTATTGCTCAGAAAACTAGGACACTAGTGGGCGAGACTATCATCGAGCTTTTTCCACACTTAAAGACCAAGGTAAAACATGTATTTTAATTTAACATAAGGTCTGATACAATGTATCATAAAATAATATTGAAGTTAATTTTTTTCTTTATTCTCCTACAGATTTTTGTGAGATATGAAAATCTAGCATACATGGAGATCTTGCTCAGGGCTCAACGACCAGCTAAACAAAAGGATATGGTGGGTAAACTCTCGTTATCTCATTTCCTAGATTCGTTAGGCGATGGACAAAATAGATTCTCCATCACAGACCTAAAAAACTTGAATGAGAGCATTGTAGATTTTCTATTAGAACACGGGGTTGCTTTTGTGAATCACTATGGGAATGAGGGACCTTTGAACCATGCAAAGTATGTTAATAATGACGCACGACGTGGTGAAGATATACCATTAGTTCATCAGACCCTAGTATTTACAACAATTCTTAGTCGTTACTTTGATTTTTTAAGTTCATTCAGGGAGAAATTACTTGAATGCCCACTCATGGCTTGGCCTCGATAAAGGTGAGAGAAACCTTGAGGATTTACCATCCTATGAAATCGTAAGTGTTGTATCTTCGAGAGAGAGAGAGAGTTCTTCATAATCAGGTGGTCAAAATAGGATAGTCCAGCAAATAACGAAAACACATGTATTTTAATGGGGTATAGTTTTGAAACCTACGATCGAAACTATTTTGAGGAGATAAATAGTTGAGGGTGGAATGGTGTGATAGAGGATTTGCGGATTTTCCGTGAGGTAGATATATATTTTGCGGGAGAGTAAAGTGATGAAGGTGCAACCATGGCCTGCAATGGGTACAATGGTACATATATAAAATCATTTTATTTATTGTTCGCCCATTAACGGGTTTTACGGAACTGAAAATATCGTCGTATGTGGCTATTGATATGTCTTATGCTCGCATATATTTTAATGAAATTCGCATTGACTAATATTTTAACATTTAGATAAAAACATATATATTCTAATGAAAACCTATATCCATCCTCATAAATGCATATATTTGACTGCAACAACTTATGTGAATTTTCTACTAGAACACGGGTTGTTTTTGTGCTATGGGGATAATGTACCTTTGAACCATGCAATGTATGTTGATATTGACACACGATGTGGTGAAGATATACCATTAGTTCGTCAGACCCTAGATTTACAACAATTTGTAGTCGTGGCTTTGATTTTTGAGGTTCATTAAGAGAGCAATTACTTGAATGCCTACTCATGACCTCAATAAAGGTGAGAGAAACCTTGGAGAATTTACATCCTATGAAATTTGTGAGGTTTGGTATCTTCGAGAGGGAGTTCTTCATGATCAGGGCTGTGAAAGTAGGATAGTTCAGCAAATAACAAAACACACATGTATTTTAGTATGGTATAGTTAAGAAACCTATGAGGGAAACTATTTTGATGTGATGAATAGGGGGAATGGTGATAGAGGATTTGGATTACATATATGCGGAACTAATATATTATGATTTATGTATTACATATGAGATTATGTTGAACTAATATATTATTATTTATGTATTACAGATGAGATTAGCTTTACAAATGGTGATCAAGTGGGGAATCAAATGAGACGAAGCAAATTATTTCTTCATATTGAGAAGTAAAATTTTGCAGTGGAGATTTACCTTTCTTCAAATGGTAAACCGGATAATTCGTCAATGGATATTTACCTTTCTTGTCTTAAAGATAGGACAATTCGTCTTCTTATGTACATTTTACTTAAACCGGATAGACTTGCTTTTCGGCTCGTATTGCTCAGAAACTAGGACACTAGTTGAAGAGACTATCAGCGAGCTCTCCTCACATCTAAGTACCAGGATAAAACATGTATGTTAATTTAACATGAGGTCTGATAAAATATATCATAAAATAATATTGAAGTTTATTTTTTCCATTTTCTCCTGCAGATTTTTGAAAGTTATATGAAAATCTAGCAAGAATGGAGATCTTTCTCAAGGCTCAACGACTAGTTGAACAAAATGATATGGTGGTTAAATTCTCGTCATCTCATTTCCTGGACTCATTAGGCGATGGACAAAATAGGTTCTCCAACACAGACTCAAAAAACCTGAATTAGAGCATTGTGAATTTTCTATGAGAGCACGGGGTTGCTTTTGTGAATCATTATGGTAATGATGGACCTTTGAACCATGCAAAATATGTTGATAATGACACATGACGTGGTGAAGATATATCATTAGTTCATCAGACCATAGTATTTACAACAATTCATAGTCATTGCTTTGATTTTTGAAGTTCATTCAAGAAGCAATTACTTAACTGCCCACTCATGGCCTCAATAAAAGTGAGAGAAACCTTGGAGGATTTACCATCCTATGAAATTGTGAGGGTCGGTATCTTCACGAGGGAGTTCTTCATAATTATGGTGGTCGAAATAGGATAGTCTAGCAAATAGCTAAACACACATTTATTTTAACGAGTTATAGTTATGAAACCTGCGAGGGAAGTGATTTTGAGGAGATGAATAGTTGGGGGTGGAATGGTGTGATAAAGGTTTTGCGGATTTTGCGGGAGGTTGATATATTTTGCGTATTTTGCGGGAAAGTAATTGATGAAGGTGCGAGCTTGCAAGGGGTACAATGGTACATATACAAAATCATTTTATTTATTGCTCGCCCATTAACGGGTTGTATGAAACTAGAAATATTATCATATGTGGCAATTGACATGCCTTCTGCTCGCATATATTTTAATAAAAATCACATCGACATATATTTTAACATTTAGATGAAAACATGTATGCAACAACTTATGTGAATTTTCTAGGAGATCACGGGACCATGCAAAGTATGTTATATTGGCGATCGATGTGGTGAAGATATACCATTTGTTTGTCAGACTCTAGATTTACAACAATTCGAAGTCGTGGCTTTGATTTTTTAAGTTTATTCATGGAGAAATTGCTTGAATGCCCACTCATGCCTCGATAAAGGTGAGAGAAACCTTGGAGGATTTACCATCCTATGAAATTGTGAGGGTCGATATCTTCGAGATAGAGTTCTTCATAATAAGGGTGGTCAAAATAGGATAGTCCAGCAAATAGGGAAACACACATGTATTTTAATGGGGTATAGTTATGGAACATACAAGGGAAAAAATTTTGAGGAGATGAATAGTTAGGGGTGGAATGGTGTGATAGAGGATTTGCGAATTTTGAAAGAGGTAGATATATATTTTGCATATTTTGCAGGAGAGTAAATTGATGAAGGTGCGACCATGGCTTGCAAGGGGTACGATGGTACATATATAAAATCATTTTATTTATTGGTCGCCCATTAACAGGTTGTACGGAACAGGAAATATCGTCATATGTAGCAATTGACATGCCTTCTGCTTGCATATATTTTAATGAAAATTACATCAACATATATTTTAACATTTAGACGAAGAATGTATGCAACAATTATGTGAATTTTCTAGGAGATCACGGGGTTGCTTTTGTGAATCACTATGGGAATGATGGACCTTTGGACCGTGCAAAGTATGTTTATATTTGACGAACGATGTGGTGAAGATATACCATTAGTTTGTCAGACCCTAGATTTACAACAATTCGTAGTCGTGGCTTTGATTTTTGAGTTTCATTAAGGATGCAATTAGTTGAATGCCTACTCATGACCTCAATAAAGGTGAGAGAAACCTTGGAGGATTTACATCCTATGAAATTTGTGAAGCTCGGTATCTTCGAGAGTGAGTTCTTCATAATCAAGGTGGTCAAAATAGGATAGTCCATAAAATAGTGAAACATACATGTATTTTAATGGGGTATAGTTGGAAAACTATTTTGAGGTGATGTATAGTTGGGTAGGAATGGTGCGATAGAAGATTTGGACTTATTCAAAACAGAGATATCATGTATGCATGAACCAACGGGGTAGATGAGATCACTCAACTATGGTAACTCAAATTGTTTAATGCATAATTAATGTCAAACTGAATGACCCAAAAAAAAAAGTTTTTAAATCATAAGTTGTTAATACTTTAGTTTTATATTCACATGTAAAACTTATAAATTACAATAAATAATTATATTAAGAGTGGTACATTGTCAAAAAATATTGTTATTATAATTATTCTTTTATTTTGTAATGAATTTAAATGTAAATTTAATAACTACAATAGATAGTCATATTAAAAGCAGAAAATCGTCAAAATAAATAAAAAAATATTAGATTCACAAATTAAATATCAGAGTGTCGCGGCATGAGGCCCGTTGCGCAACGCCGGTACTGAAATAACGGGCACAAGCGACTGCGTGGGACTAGGTGCGCCGCGATCCTTGTGCGATGTTGCGACGCGAGGGCCATCGCGGCGTAGACGCTTTGGAAGGGCACTAGTCTCTCCCATCGTGACGCGGGCGCAAAGCTTGGCGCGCCGCGAGTCCAGGTGCTGTCGCAGCGCGATGACCTACTAGAAGTGTTTGACCACTCTCGGTTGATCTTAAAGGGAAATTCTCGTTCCTCGGGTTCCGCCCGAGGTAAAAAGTTGATTCTTGCGCTAATGGGTCCAACGAGGTTACATGCGAATCTCGGACACTGGGGACGGGGACTTCCTCTCTGATCTGTTCAACTCCCGGCCACACCTAAAAACCCTGAAATCACCAACAATCGGCAAAACAAGAAAACAAGGGCAAACGCAAGAAAACACACAAAAACTAAAATAAAGAAAAATAAACAAGAAACGACAAAGCGGAACGAAAAGTCTAAAGAAAGACCTAAAATATGGAAAAAAGAAAGACAAAACAGCAATGAAAATAACAACAAAAACATATATTTAATTCATATCAAAAGACAATATAATTGATATGCTTATGATTTGCTATTATGAATTTATTTTCTAAGGCAAATTTGAAATCTATTTATTACTTTACTTCTAATAAATGCCTTAAAAATTAATTTATTGAACTAATTAAAGCAGTTAAAAATAAGCATGAATAATTTGAAATTTAAATGTTAAATAAATGTACAACTAGGAGAAAGGATATATATAGTTACAATCAGTGTTTTAAATACCGGTATGTACCATCCGGTATTATTACCTCTAAAATACCGTTTTGGACAAAGTACCAGTTTATACCGGCTTCATACCGGAAAATACCGGTTTTACCAGCCAAAATACCAGCTAAAATACCGGACATACCGGATTTTTGTAAAAAAAAATTACAACATATTTTTATTAATTTGTTTATATAAATATAAAGTTCTACACTTAAATTTAATATATTTACATTGTTATTTGACTTTAGATAATTTTAGTATTTATTATAGCTAATTTTATATATTATTTATATTACATAATAGATTAATTTAATATTTATTAAAGCCGGTAAAATAGACGGTAAAACCGATTAAACAGGTTGAACCGCGTACCGGTGGCTCGTCCGGTATGGTCACTGGTACGGTATTTAAAACATTGGTTACAATATTGTAATGCTTACATAAACAAATATAATATTACTTACCGAATTAACAAAGAGTTCAATTGTATTAATTTTAATATATAATCGTTACAACGTTTATTAAAACCAGTATATAACCTATACGATGCACTGGTTGTATTTATTTTGAAAAAATTTATAAATTGAAGGTTAATACTTAATAAATTATAATACGTATGGGTTTTGTAAAGTAATCATAAATTCTTCATTGGTAATAAATCATACATTATTAAAAGCCTCTTTGTATACAATATTATTAATTTGATTACTGGTAACTCATCGTCCACACAAACTAATATTTTCAACCTCTTTCTATTAGTTACAAGTGAAATATCAACATATAACTGGTTGTAACTAAAAAAACGGTTTCATTAAGAACAACTCAACATGTGATAAAGACCGACCTTGATAATATATGCATTTTTCTATTTTCGTGTAAGCTGTTTTTATCGTATGAGTTTGATTGGATTTTTATAAGCCTCACATTCGTGTCAAAGCAAAAAATATGGTATAAAATTAAAGTGATAAAATTTATTGATGTGGTAAATATCAAAATTTTGTTTATTCGGATGATGCCAAAAAGAAAAAGATTTCCACCACGTAAATCATAATACCATTAAAATAAGGACCGTTAAAAATCTCTGAATTAGTTGGTATGATTTGTAGTTTAATAGAAACGAATATTATGACAGTATTAAAAAAATTGTTACCATGATTAATGGATTGTGTGTTTATCTCTTCTATTCTCTTAGTCTCATTTAATTACCAATTTGATTCTAATATTTGGAATAAATTAGAAACGTAGAGCATGTTTGTTTATAAAAATTTTAGTTTTGTTTAAAATTTTTGGTTTGGTTTGGTTAATTTTGAAAAAGGTGGTATGGTTAGTTGTTAGTGGGTATATTAAAATAATATTTATAATAAAATAATTAAAATTAATTTAATGTAAAAGCAGGAGGGAGAGAGATATGAAGTGATGGTTAGTTAAAATAATGTGAGTGGATGAATAGTAAATTAAGGTTGATGTGGTGTGTATGAATGATTGATTGATATTATTTAATTATATTGATAATTTTGATAATAGTAGGGTTGAGTTAAAGTTGAGTTAAAAAAAGTGGTTGAGTTAAAATGTTGGAATTTTTGTGAAAAATTTCAATAAACAAACATGTCCGTAATCTTTAAATTAAGTTTATTACGTTTAAATGATCATTTAGATTGTATGTATTGCATAACAATATTTTAAAAAAAAAAAATTCTTACGTTCAAATAAGAGATTTATTTATATGAATGCAAACACTTGTAAATTAATTTTCTATAAAGATTACATTTCATATTTATCCTTTTTATTATAGCATTCTCATTACAAAAAATGTTACCATGATTACTAGATTTTGTGTTTATTTCTTTTATTTTCTTAGTCTCATTTTACGGCCAATTCGATTCCAATCTTTGGAATAAATATAAAATGTAATCTTTAAAATGAATTTGTTATGTTTAAAAAAGATTTAGATTATATCTATTGCATAACAATATTAAAAAATAAATAAAATTGTTTCGTTCAAATAAGAGATTTATTTATGAATAGAAACACCTGTAAATCAGATTTCCATAAGAACTACCTTTCGTATTTTTTTTATTATAGCGTTGTCAATTGTAGTCCAAAACAATTAATATGAACATTCGTGTGTGAATCAGATT